GGTTGGCTGAGGACTGGCATTGCATGTGCATACAGACATTCGATCTCGGAAGGGTGAGAGCGGCCCTGCATGAAGGCTGGGCCAACACCCTTCTGAGAGAGGTAACCAATCAGTCATCGACTGAAAGGCTTTACCCATGCTCCGTTGCCGGTTGGCGTCCATGGGCGGGGCTTGCAGCTTAACTCCTAACACGCACGTGTCTTACCGAGCCACCCCCATTGTCTGCATCTTGGTTGATTCGATGCCTCGTGTCTTGGCCCCTTTTGCTTAGCGAGGTTGACGCCCCCATGCACCTTCTCCTGATTGGCTGGGGCAACAAAGAACCGGACTGGCTTGCCTCTAAGCATGCGTGCAAAAACACACATAATATGGCTTGACCACTGCGAGCTGTTCTTTTCTGTTCAATCCTTTCTTAGCTTTTTTGATACAGTACACTGCCCAACCTTATCGGTCTTACCTGACTTCTGACATGAGCACTATGAAACTGATGGCCGTCAGCGCTACATTTAATGTTTCTATTCGAACCTAAACACCGTAGATAGAACTTTCAAAGCCTTTTCATGCAGGGCCACTCCTCGCTTTCCTTGCTTCGAAACTAAAAAGCCTACTTTTGGAAGGATCACAATCTGCGCGATAAACTCACATCGAAATAGCGCCCTCAAAACTGCCTTCTGACGACTGAGGGTTTCAGTAAGATATTGCTGTTCCACGCTGCATACTACTCGGACAGAGTAGAGCGTATCCGTCACCACCTGGAAGGCCCCGCTCTTTCTGGAAATCAGACGCACGTTGGAGTAGGCCATGGAAACGTCCAGAATGTGGTAGGCCGTGCGCGCAGCTGTGGATGTGCAGGATAACATGTCACCTGTTTCAAATTCTCGTTTTTGGGGTAGGATTTTCACTTTCTCCATTTCAACTGTTGGAAAGAATTTGACAATAAGGCTTTATATATGTATAAAGCTGGGAGCTCTCATAAATGGCAAGGCTATGACCTTTTAAAAAAATGAGTTATAACGATTTATCATTATAAAGATGTCTATGATGCATCGGAAAATTAATAAAGCAAATAAACTGCAACATTTTGAGTACAACTGAAGAGGAAATTAATGATTTTCATTAACGTATTTATCGAAGGCACCGTTCACAATGTTTTCAATCTCTGGTTTGCAACAAAATATTAGACGATCCGCAACGATAAATTGAATAGTTTTTCGTCAGTAGAAGCCTGCTTGTACTACTTTGGACGGACAAACCAGTGGCATATTAGGTCTTTAAGTTTAATAGTCTGGGAATTTTCATTTTTAATTTTACAAAGATGAGCCATCTTGAGGGGTTTTGAGAACGTGAAATATGAATTCAAATAGCGTCACGACGTTTATATTATGGGTACTGCTTATGAATAACAGAAATTGGACCGCATTCGAAAGAACATTTGATGATTGTTCTATGAAGGAAGCAGACATTACGAATCTTCTTCCATCAGCAGTGGATCGACCTTTTCTACTTATATAGTTAAGTCAAAATTTCTCACGAATTTTTCCCTATGAGAGAGGACACCGTATGTAACAATTACCTTATTAGAAAGAATGCGAAGGAATGGGCTCCTGGCAATTTGTAAGTACTATAAATGTTCAATGCAGGCGACCTCATGGAAAAACTCATCTAGTTACCTTCTCACGAATGAATTATAAGAATGAATTATAATAAGTGACCCTGAAATGGATCCAAATATCAAAGGTAAATTGGAACACCAGGTTTAGGCTCATGAACTAAGTTCACGTCGTCCGAACAGACCTTTTGGCACAACTCCTGAGGAAACTAATAAACTCAAAAGGAATGTTGAAATGTATGATGTCCATTACAGTTAGTAATAACAGGTCGCAAATGTTAATCTGCAGGAAAAAATAATGATCAATGGCAAACATGAATATGTAGAAAAGAGCCAACTTTAGTGCAAGAAAAATTGCACTGCAACATTATGCATATGTATATCTATGTATGTATATGTTACGCATTTCTTCAAAGTAAAATATCTGCGGAAATATTCGGGATGCAGATGTGAAATCGTTCTCGTCATCCCCGGAAGAAAAAGAAGAAGAGGGGAGATTAGTGTGACTGAATTGTATTTATTCTGACGTTTCGGAAGTGTTATAGGGATGCTAGTGGCCATGCACTCAGAGCCCACGGCCTCGAGTCATGCGCACAGGCAAACGGCGAACGCCAACGACTGCTCACGCAGCGCGAGGAATTATCGACCAGCGTGCACACGCGACGATCGTTCACGCAGATTGGGGAATTATCGATTTGAAGGCAAACGTAATGACCGCTCACATAACGAGGCAAAATATCGATCCGGTGCAGACCAGAACAGTGGTCGGGCGCTATTGGGCCAGGAGTATTCTAGAAGGCCAGAGCCTCATAAATAGGCTGTATTGGAAAAGCTAAAAAACCTGCTGTCTCTGTATTGATCAGAAAAAAGGCTTCTTATCAGAACTGCTCTCTTGGCTTCTTCTGCCTATTAATCGGGTCACAACTAACTGGGCTATAACAGGAAGCATGCTCGTTCCCATCGTCAGACCGTAGTGCTTACTTTTCTACCGGCCTCGAATAATGCACCTCACCGCCAGCCTCGTGTTGTAGCCATACCCGATGCACCTGCATTCGGGAGTCACATGGCCGGCGTGGCAAACTTTCTCGCGGAGGTGCCCACGAAATCGAGAATGCTCCGAAATAGGGTGAGACCGTCGAGCACACGAACGCGATTTCAACGACAGTGGAGAGGATGGAGTAAAACCAACAGCCAACGGCTGAACGGACGCACGTGCATTCGGTATGGCTGCAACACGAGGCTAGCGGTGAGGCGCATTAATTCGATGTTGGCGAAAGCTTAAGCACTATGCTCTGACGATGGGAAGGAGCATGTATTCAAAACGTCAGCATCAATACAATTTGGCCCGAGCACTTGCCCCCTCTTCATCTTCCTCCTCCTCCGGGGATGATGAACACGATATAGTACCATATGTATTTTATGGTAATTATACTTGCATATCGTTTTCAATAGGGTTGCCAAAGAAATTGCCCATTGCCTTATTTATGCTGAAATATAATGCAGGACGCAAAACCGTATAGTCCGATTTGTTAACTAATTTTTCTCTCACAATGTACAGCTGTACAAATAAACGTACCATATGTAAGGACGAAAAACACCTGTGTCAGAAAGATTCCCTCCGTCTCAAAGACACAAACATATGAGCCGTAGGTGTGGTCTTTAATTCTCACGTGTAAATTTGACGGCACCAGTTTATTGCGATCCACCTTAAAGTGAGGATGCTCCTGGATGATCTCCCACCTAATGTATTTCTTTTCTGAAGGGAAGGTGGGATAAGTATAACACTCCACAGGTTGCTCGTCCTTTGTGAATGCATGGCCGTTGTATGTGAGCCGCAGTTGTACATTCTCACGGGCTAGATGGGGACGAGCAAAAAAATGATGAGTTAAGGGAAGGTCGGTATAGTACCGCATCACATTAGCTGGATGTTAATTGTTTTCGAAACTCACAATCACCCTAGTATAGTGAATGTAAACATGTGGACGACCAGCAATGTGATATAAATAATAATAAATTGCATATTTAAGGCCCAAGGGGCCCGTTCATCAATATAACTGGCTAACTAATCACCAGAAGAAGAGGATGCGATCACTGGAACAAGAGTTTTATTTGCCAGACATTTCGGATTCAGTCGGGAATCCTTAATCACAGTTGATGGTAACAAAGTCATGGTCATGCGCAGACAGGGTTGAGACATGCACATGTTGCACGTTATGTTTAGCTCATAGTGGTCATCCGCGTGTGTGTGATAATAATTCACTTCTGTAGCCACCGCTTGGGTCTTAAACGATGCCTCGTCAAACGAGAAAATATAGCCGGGTCCCGTCCTGTTGAGCCCTGTGCTAGAACATTGAATGTTTTTCGTCATGTTTGTGATTTTTCTTCTCTGCGGACAGAAGTACACTGTTTTCAACGCCAGTACCTCCGAGACTGAAAGCGGTATTTTAGCGACTGCATCTGAAATTCCATATAGAGGAAGTACCGTATTTGACGCTGTTTCTGTCGTAACTTCACAAACCAATCCTGTCAATTCTGTCTTCCGCCTTTTCAACGGCCTTTACTGTCAGACTTTAACCATTCGGTCTGATTTAAAACCACTCTTGCGGCTACGGACGCGCGCTCATACAGCAGCTTACCTCCTTTAATCAGTTCTCCACCACTTCCGCACAGACTACACATTTCCTCTTATACGATTTCACACTTCTTCTCTTCTCACACGTAACCAGGTCTGAAGCTTGCAATGGAAAATAACTTCGTTATTAACTTAAGCTAATGCGATATTGGTGACCACGACATGATCTGAACTCGCAACTTTCATGTGTGGCTGAGCTCTATCATCAAAAAACCTCCATGGAATTCAACCAAATATTTCTGTGTCATCTTATATTACCGCGATATGCTGAATTTAGTCATCAAAAGCCTGTCCTGAAGCGATATGGAGGTCATCAATTATTCTCAACCCATCCACTTCAGGCTATGGTTTCTTCCCATTCCAGCAGAACGGTCCCTCTATAAGTAACAACACCCAGGAGTCCCTCCCGTAATTCCGATCTCATGTCTACTATCAGCGGTGTCTTCCCACTAAAACCAACCAATAATGAAACGATACAAGAGCCTGGAGATTGCAGCGACAGGTGTCCTCCCTATTGACCTTAGCCACTGCGATAAATCAGTGGTATTTTGAGCGGTTGAAGAGACAATAACTAATTCGACCAGAAGAGGCATCCGACGTCGTTTTGGGCTTATGAGAAAGCATAACGCAGGTGGCGAATCGCTTCTGTCCACTAGAACTTCTAGCTAAGCAGTCTGCCTTTTGGATTTAAAAAGCCTGACCAAGATGTGTCAAAGTGAAACCAAAAACCCCAACATGTCACTAATAATTGAAATAAAATGAATCAGTGGATGTCGTCCACGCTCTCATCGTCCAACATAAGCCTGCAATGCGTACTATAAGCATCGGAAGAGGTGTTAGGATGGCCGAGTCATAACTCGGGCCGTCCTGAGGACACGAGAACAAAGGACTCGAAAAAGCTACCGCTGCATGCAGAGCGGGCAAAGAGAGCGACCTTCA